TAAAACTGCATGCTTTATACATTGAAGTGTGAACAGGTTTTTTTGCATAGAATATTACGTTAGTAGCAGTTGTGTCTTCAAGTTTGAAAATAAAGACTATCTGGGTCTGTGGAACTCCTAATCATCTCTGCTTAACCCATTAAAAGCAAAGCACACTGCAATATCTGAGTAAATCGAACACTGGATTTTTATAGCAGCTTGCACCATGTTGGACATGTGACACTGTATTAGTGGAGTGCAGTGCCTGGGTCTTTTAAGTCAATGAAACACTTTGTTTCTTCTTCATCTTGCAGGCGCAATCTGAGGAACTGGGTTGCGATGAACTGAACGAGATTAATGCACGATTGCAGCACCAGCTGAACCAGGAGAAGAATGACATGCAGATGAAGAGTGAAGAGCTCAACATCCTCATCAGGTCTTATGTCAGCACTGATTTGCATCCAGCATAGAGCAGAGATGGCAAAAATGTAAAAAAAAAAAAAATGTATCTGTTTTCCCAGATGTTTTAAGGATTTCCAGCTGCAGCGGGCAAATAAGCTGGAGTTACGTAAACCTCCCGAGGATGTCAGTGTAGTGAGGAGAACAGAGATCTACTTTGCACAGGCCCGCTGGTGTTTGACAGAAGAGGACGGACAGCTTGGTATCGCTGAGCTGGAGCTGCAGAGATTTATGTACAGCAAGGTGAGCAGATGCTGATAATCCATCCAGAGCTTGGAGACAATCCATCTGCCTCTCACCACAGCCCACAAATTCACTGTCTTTAGTTCTTTACTGCATTTTAAAAACTGGATAAGAGGTTAACATATGTTATTTGATATTCTCCTGCTGATAAGATCACTGAGTGATAACCACTTTGAAAAATGTCTCCTTGCAGCTGAACAAGTCTGATGATACAGCAGAGCATCTTTTGGAGCTTGGGTGGTTCACAATGAACAACCTGCTACCGAACGCAGCGTACAAGGTAAATAACTTTATCAGAATATTCAGATTAGGCTGAATAGCTTATTTTCACTTGCTTTACATTTATTTTCTTTGCTTTTTGGTTGCTGAAACTTTGAGACTAGCCAGTCCTCTCTTCTACAAACCACTTTGCATTGTGTCACTTTACAACCAAGCACAATGTGACATACATGGCAGACATCAATTTGAAAACTAACTTATTTGTGCCTGGTTTCCTCTGTGCAGCGTTTGAGGGTATGTATACAGCTGGAACAGTGGCGAGAAGTTTCATATTGTGCATGTGCACCTGAGTCATAGACGCATGTTTGAGCCATTAGTTCACTCAACCTTACAGTGTCTTCCTTCTTTCCTGTGTTCATTTCATCAATGAAACGTGGTGTTTGTGTCTTTTTCAAACTCAATCTCAGTAGAGCTTTTTCAAATCAAATCACTTTTGTGTGTGTGTGCATGCGTGCGCGGGCATGCGTTTGAATCTAATTCTCTCATCTCTTTTAGGTCGTACTTCGTCCACAGAGTAACTGCCAGTCTGGACGCCAGTTTGCTTTGCGGATCTTCAGCAAAGTGCGCCCCCCTGTGGGAGGAATCTCTGTGAAGGAACACTTTGAGGTGAGAATGAAGACTCTAAAACACTTTTATGGTGCTTGATTGAATGTTTTTTCTAACACTATTTTGTTTTCATCATCAGGTGAATGTGGTGCCTCTCACCATCCAGCTGATGTACCAGTTCTTCAAACGAATGATGGGGTTTTTCTTCCCGGGGAGAAATGTTGAAGAGGAGGAGGTCACAGATGAAGAAGACAAATTTAGGCTGGTTACTACTGGTATGCTTTTATCAACAGCTGTAATATAACCGTAGCACTTCATCTCCAGACTCTCTGTGTGATCATCAGCCTGAAATTTATACTGCCTAAATGATCAATAGTTTCCATTTTCTCTACCAGACTTGCAGTGTCAAGTTGCTTTTCTGTTATGTCATCCCTCTGAGCTCTATGTAGAGCCTCAGCCACTTTGAATATGACCTTGATGTGATACTCGGTGGGAGTATAAAGTGTAGAGTCACCCAGAGGCCAGAGAGCTTATTCTAATATTGTCTGTGATACAGGTATCCCTGTCAAACCTCGGCCATTGTCAGAGGACACCATGGGTGCTATGGGTCCCAGCAAAGGTGTCACCCAGGGACTGAACCGCACTGCTGGGGTTAGAAGGTCATTCAGGAAGGCTCCAGAGGTAGAGATGCTGTTTTATGTGTGCTAAAATGTATAGAAGTTTATTTTAAGGCAGAGTAAGTAGACTTTATATTTTGTCACTCAGCATCCCGTCGATGACATTGATAAGATGAAAGAGCGCGCTGCAATGAACAACTCATTCATCTACATCAAGATTCCACAAGTGCCTCTCTGTGTCAGCTATAAGGTGGGTTTCTGTGCATAACAGCTGCTACATACCTCTACAGTAAGATTCAGTACCCATTTATTTATTGGTTTAAATGCAAAGATCAACAAAAATCATTCATACAAAATATGTTTAACTAAGCATTGTTTAACTGCCAAATATTAGATATTAGAAGATAACTAACTTTGTCACCAGGCAAAAATCTTTTTGTTTTTCAGAAAGGATCGCAATTCAAAACAACCAATTTTTAACCTCTGACCCAAGCTTGTGTTTGAGATGCATTTTGAGATCGTTGGATCATACATATAAAAACATTAATCTTTAAACGGATAGTATTTTTTTTAAAAATTCCACAGCTTAATACAATAAAGCATTAACAAAGCATAAAGCACTGCTTCATTCTGTTCAGTATCAATAAAATGGAGAAAAGCCAAAATGTGATGTCCTCATATGAGCACAGAGGGTCTCACCTTGCACTGGGCCTTAGGTTGGCCCTCAGTTCTGTCTGAAACCATCTTAAAGCCAATCCTCCTTTTAAGCCAACTTTACTCTGATAGGCTGCTTACAAACACAAGGTTTGAACAGCAGATGGGTGTGACATCATTCAAGAGCTACAATATATTTAAAAGCTTTTGGCTCACAGGTAGACAGGCTCAAAAAAGATTGTACTGAGCTATGAATGCATCCGACAAACACCCAGAGGTTGTTAGTAAGCATGCCATGTTTTCTTTACATAGTTTGCAAACAAACAAACAAAAAAAATACAGAATTTCTACGTTGCACACCAAATCTTTAACCAGCAGGTTTTTTTAAACATAGCTATAAGAAAATTGAAGCTCAGCTTTAGTACCATTCATTTCCTGCATTGCCCAACCTTGTCATATTACATACAGTGATTGTTTGTGCAAACACTGACATCATTACTTAAAATGCTGACAATGAATATCCATTAAGAGAACAGATCCCCTTTAATCTTGTGTTTGCCTGTGAAATGTTCGTCTCTCAGGGTGAAAAGAACAGTGTCGACTGGAAGGACTTGAATCTGGTTCTGCCTTGCTTGGAGTACCATAACAATACATGGACATGGCTCGACTTTGCCATGGCTGTTAAAAGAGACAGTCGAAAAGCACTTGTAGCGCAGGTACATTAACGTTCTTATCTCTTCATTAAAGGACAGGCAGATCTTTGATATTTTTAAACTTGTCTTTTTTGCTCCTTGCTGCTCAGATGATAAAAGAGAAACTGCGTCTGAAGCCAGCTTCTGGCTCAGACTTGAGGGGGAAGGCATCTGAAGGGAAGGCGGACAACAGCCTACAGCAGCAGGAAGAAGATGAGAAAGCACGACTCCTCATCGGTCTCAGCACTGCAGACAAGAGCTCCGGCAAGAAGAGTATCTTCAGACGACATAAGTGACGCCTGGAATTGAGTGGATAGTCGTCTACAGCAGCTGCAGGGAAAAAGTACAGAGCATCATTCTGGCTTTGTGAATCAGGATGAAAAAGGGGGCACGATGGAATATTTCAAGTGGATTTAGGAAATATCTTACTGTATCACATGAGCCTGCTGATCTATCTTTTTTTCTTCTTTTTTTTCAGTTAACTCCTGTTGTGTCTTAGGTTTGAATCTCAAGCAGCTCCGGGATAACCGGAGTGCCATTTTGACCAAATATAAATTATTCTGTTTATTTGTGTGCCATTTAAAAATTTCACTCTGGTGTCATAAACTGCAACCTTTGGAAAGAACGACCGCTTTGGTTGCACTGAATGTAGCGAGGAAGGTTTACAGTATGTAGCTGGCACTTCACTGTTACTGTTTCCTCTGCTTCTGAAAATCCCAGACCGACATGCTACTTCCTGCGGGCTCAGGAACACGGTGCACTCTGCTTGAAGAAATGACACTTAACTGAAGCACATGTCACTTGTTTAAAACAAAAAAACAAATCTGATCATAGAATATGTTTTATCAATTAAAGCTTAAAGAAACTGATCGTGGCTGTATGACTGTCGCTGACAGGAAGGCCTTTATCCCCATATAAAATGCTATTTTATATTTTCCATGTTGAATGGTGGCCTGCTTCCTCTCAGCTCACTGTTTTTCTGTACCTCACCTCAGTGCAATATGACAGGAACAGAGCAACAAAAACATGGTGATGTGTGGTAAAATGTGGCACTCGGTGTGTGTGACAGTATCGTGGCAAAAAAAAAAAAAAGAATGCGTGTTGCACCTAACTGCTGAGTGTGTTTTGTAATTTGAACACTAAAGCACTTTTATGCAAAGTATTTTGATATTTTTGTAACCGCGGTTGTTTTCCGTTGAATTGTTGCTAAATCCTGATGTTTGTCACATTTCTGATCAGCCCTGAGTATTTCAATTAAAAGGATCGTATCATGGCCCATTTGTGTCAGCTTATCTCTCAATAAGTGTTATTAGTGTGTGTGCTCGTGTGTGTGTGTGTTTGGTCTGTTGATCGATCACTGATCTGACAGCTCTAACTGGAGCGGAATAGCGCTCTTCCCGCGAACACGTGGGTGTCATGGCCGAGACGCAACTGTGCAACGCTGACAGTGAGAACAGACGCGAGGCGAGACGCTGGATTTGTGGTGGTCTTATATATATTTTTTATTTAGTTGTTGATTGAATTACTTGGGTCTGTCGGTTTCTGAGGATGCGATGGGCGGTGAGGTCAGTAAAAACCGAAAGGTGAGTAAGTATGATGAGGCGCAGATCGGAGTTGTTTACCTTTTAACACGCTGTAGATACGGAGTCGTCACGTGTAGCGACCTCTAGATGGGGTTCTTGTAAGAGAAGATGAAGGCAGTGGTATTTGAAAGTCTCTTATGCACTGATCAGCTCACAAGTGGACACAGATCTTCAGTCTGTGGCTCAAATCCGCTTCAGATCGTCTATTTATTTATTTATTTGTGGGGGGTCATGTGTGATCTATGAGCTACAAAATGTTTCTACCCCATTTATCTCCAACACTAGTTAGTGATGCCAACTAAAAACCTAACCAAGCGCTGCGTTTCTTAGTTATTTTTGAGGCTTTAAAGTTGAGCTTTTATTTAAATCAATATTTCATAAAGTCAAA